CTCTTCACGGTGGCACCGCTCATGGCTCCATGAGCCATCACGGGCCATCCGCATGGAGGCCACCGCTTGCACCGCTTCACGCTTGCACTGCGGTGACCCGTTGCTGAAGCCCTTTGTTTCAGCGCTGCCTTACATGCTCTGCTGTTCCTCTGGGGGATTTCACGTGAGTAGCTGTCATTACACAAGGTGGAAACTTGGTTAAGGTTAATAAGTGATTTATAGGTCTTAGGAATACATTACAATACAAAGAAGGTGTCATTAGCATATCAGAAACAAGTTAGAGGTAACTTTTTAACTCACTTAACTCTGATCAGCTTTGAAGAGCTGAGCAAACGTTCATATGCGCCCATCACTAACGCTTTAAGTTCTTTACAGAAATACAATGTTAGTAAAACACATGAATATGCTTGGACCAGGTAAGGACACCCTTTAAGAAATCAGTTCCTTCCCAACTCATTCCAGTAGTGACCCGAGTCACGTTTCCTTATTCACACATCCCAAATAAATCTCAGCATTATTATCTGCAGATAGGGAAACTGAGGCACAGCAGGTTGATGAAAGAGCCAGTGGTACTTACAGCCTCGATATGATGCATGAGCCACAAGGTCTGCTCTTTACCATCTTGATTTTTGCTATCAATGTCTATATTCCTCTCTGAGAAGAAAACCAACATGAAGCGCCGGCATAGCAGAACTGAGCAAGCCTGTTACAGGGATACCGCAAGACCTCAGCTATAGGGTGTATCAACGCTGAGGGTGAGATGCAAGTCAGCCTTTACAATTAGGCCCAAATCCTTCTGCAAACCTCTCTCCGCAGTCACAGGCTGCTCCCACAGTAGCTCTGCCACTGTCTCATTTTGCTGTGAGGTGGCCTAACCAAGCAGTTCTTGGGATTTACTTATTTCCACCCAGCAGGGCTGCTGCAATCTGTTAAGAAAGAGTGGGGTGGGGAGAAGGGCCTGCAGCAAGCTTTGGGCCACCGGGACATGCCACAGAGGGTCCACATGGGCCCACGTGGACACATTATTTTAAGGGTTTTCTGGCAGAAGGCGCTACAATGACGCGGTTCCCAAGCTGTATTTCTACATACGAACCTAAGCGATACCTCTGGCCCTCTCTGAATTTCCACATGCGAGCCCCACTTCCCCCTTTCAGAGAGGACAGGCCAGCATCACTATTCATATTCAGGTCCTCTTCATCGAACAGAGCCCGAACGCGACTCAGGGCAGTGAGGGGACGTGTGGAGCTAGGGAGGCTCTGGCAGAGGCAGCTGGCTGCAACAGCGCACAGAGAAAGTTTGTACTTTCTGGAGAAAATAACACCAAGAGGACCTTTTTTTGCCCAAGAGCTCCCTAGACTGTTGAGCTGCACTTAAACAGGCAATAAACTGTGACTTCGAGATCACAATAGTTAAAGTGGAAAAATCACCGGCACAGTGTGCACAGAGCCGTTCCACAGGCAAGGTCGGAGCAGCACGATAGGCCTGCGTCGGCCCACAGGAACTAAGTAGTAGCTTAATATAAAGATAGAGCTTTAAGAATGAATACTGAAAAAAAACATCACAAGGTCTCGGCTCCGAAATATCTAACACATTTAAGAACTGAATTTTTCAGGAAATATTTCACTTAGAGGATTTAAGGAAAAACATTATTTTGAACCTGCAATAATTCACCTACATGCAGTTACAGTGCAGCAGAAAGGGGGAAAGATTTTCTAATATGCACTTAAGTTTTTCAGATTGTCATTCCAGTGTCTTGGAGTTCACTTCACATGCTATAGTTCTCTCTTAGCAAAAGCACAGCTGCAGCAGCACGTTTTTATCTCTATGCCAAAGACTTATACTAAATTATTATTCTCAAGTAAGTCTCAAAAACTGAACACTCGATTCAGGAGCGTGAACGAAACTGGGGCTAGTTCTGCATCTGCAGAATGCCTTGTCCACACGGTATCACTAACAGATTTCAGTAGAAATGCCCACACATTGTGTGTATTACAGTTTGTTTACAATTTTCTGCTGACATCGTATCTCAAACTACTTCAAAAAATGTATTTTAATTTTTCTAATATTTTGAAGACACAATTGGTCCTCTCATCTCAGTTCTCTTGCTCTCTGCAAGTGGCTTTATCTAAAAAGACTGTTCAGCATTGAAAAGCACCTAAAATAAGCTCATGTCAAGTTCCAATGACATAGTGTTTTCAAACTAGTTGCGTTTCTCCTCTTCAAGATACACTTGATATTCATATTGCTTGTATCCATTCAGCAAATGAGACGCAAGATTTATTCATTCCTAACACTGACATTTCAGTACTAAAACCGTATAATCTGAGATGCTGGTACCTGAAGTTCAGCATATCCTTCTTGCAAAGTTCATGAAGAAAGGCAATCATATCTGCGATGGACACTCTGATCTCAGTTTTCAAAAGCCGATTTCCTTGGCTCAAAGTTTTCTCTGCGGAGGAGCTTTAATTCCCTCAGTTCTTGTGGCTGTAAACTCTGATCCACTCCAGGAGTCAGTTTGTAACTTAAAGGAGACTCAATATAACCATTTCTGTACAGACAGATTCTCTTGCAGAATTCGAAAGTGCTAAACATTACACCGAAGTATGGGACGATCTGATACATAAAACCAAACAAACATAATAATGCATGTTAGAATCACTAACAGTATTCTTAGCTTAGATGTTTTTAAAAAGGAAACTTCACAGAATCACAGCATGGTTGAGGTTGGACTTCTAGGACTTCATGTTTGCTCCGGTCTCTTCATAGAGCTGTGCTGATTTATATAAACTCAGAGCCTCGCCTCAAATTAGGCTGGCACCTGCAGCATGCTAAAAGTAGCAGTCTGCTATTCATACGTAACTAATTATAGTGACACTGTGAGGAATAAGGATTTTACTGGCCTGTAAATTAACACAACTTTTAAAATATCCGCGCAAATCCTAGTAACCTTAGCAAACCCTAATACAGAATTTGGGATTCATTCTGCATGCACTAGAACGACTGAACAATTTCTTTCTTCTGTCCCATGCAGAATCAGCAATTCTGGCGCTATGTGGCTTTACACCAGCCAAGGTATGGCCAGGAACAGGCAGGCAGTCATGATCAATCACGCTGTTGCTCCATGACCACTCATTAGCTGACCTGCAGTACCCCACGTAGGTAGTCCTCATCTGCTGCACTGTAAAATGTTTTTATGTAAACTACCTTCTGTTTAGCCTATCAAGTTTTATTTCATGCTTTTAATTGGGTAAGGGCTGTAGTAACTGATATGCATGTCCTCCCTGCTCACTGCAAATAGCAGGACAAAAGTATTAGGACTCCCATGGAGGTGGTTTCTACTTGTGTAATTTTCTTTACAGCGAGGAACGGCACGGCAAATTACTGGAGATCAGCCGAAAAGGAGGACTTGTTCAGCTGCCGTAAGTGGATCACTTGCAATCCCTCATCCATGCCCTGGCTCGTGCGTTAGCAGCACTCCCTTCTCTAAGGGCATTCCAATGAATCTGATGGAAGTAACAATATCTAGAAGCCAAGCTTGCAGCTGGGGAAATATGACCAAACCTATGGTCTGGTTTATAAAGATATTATACAGCTGGTTTATAACCTGCTGGAGATTAAACCAGTTCTGTCACAGACTTTATCATCAATAAGCTGCTAATAAGTATGGAGGAAGGTCATATGTGTTATAACCCCAGGCCTCTGACAGTGCGTCCTGGTTAGTTCAGGACAGTCTTTGACTGGGATGAAAGCAAAAACTCACCTTGAGCAGACTGGGTGTGAGCCCGCTCCAAAGTCCGAGCACACCTTTGTTCTTCACGGTTTGCCGGAAACAGTCAGTCATGCCAGTAAAATGGACATCAACTGCTCCATAGTGGGGAAGCCAAGGGCTCTGTGCCTGCTCGAGAGACATCCAAGGGGATTTAAGACAAACAAAGGAAAACCAAAGTAATTAAAAATAATTATTTCCTCCATTCTGGTAGGAAAGGAGGACTTGACTTTATGCCAGGTTTCAACAGATTGATCTGGATTCTTTTGTCCACGTATCACGCTCTAATCAATTATACTTCAAAAGAATTAACCATTCTGCCTTGAAACGCAATCAGCAAAGGGAGGGAATACCCTGCCTGACAGGTAGGAGAAAGAAAGAGAGCAGTAAGTGCACACAGCACTTCCTTTTGCGTCAATTCATTACCAGAAATAAAACCTGCCCTTGCAAAGACAAACCACCAGAAACCGAGCGGAGCGGCAAGACACATCAGGCCCAAGTCTGCCGGCTGCTCGTGGCTGGGGAGAGGTATTTCACATCATGGGCAGCGGAGCACCTAAGAGAGGGAAGCCTGGGGTTTGCCCAGACACCACAGTGCCTTCCTGTAATCCCGATCAAAACTTGACCTGACTCTTGCAGCTCAGGCTGCGTGCACATTGCAGCAAGACGGGCAACCTGCGCTGCGGGCTGAGCACAGCAGCAGTGGGACAACCCAGACCTCAGCACAGGCTGCACAAGCCCAAAAGGACTGCAGGTGAGCAGCTGGTGCCCGCGTTTCTGAACCTCTGCTATGCGGTTAGTTGATCCAGACAGGTTAAAGTCAGCTTGGAAACGTCTCGCTGGACTGCAGCTACATTTCCAGCTGCAGTTTAGACAGTCTCTGTTCACGTGGGGCAAGTGCAGTGGGTCACTTTTAACAGCAAAATCCTTCCTTCACTAATCTCCTACTGCCTTAGCATGGACAAGATAACTTGACCTTGAGTAATCCCCTCCTCATCCACCTATGCACATGCGCCGCAGGCTTATTTTGCGTGGGCAAACCAGGGTTTGGCTCATACGCACGGCAAGTGACACTTTTCAGTCACAAGCGTGAGGGGACCCCAAGCCACACATTGACACCTTGCATGTGCAAGCTGGATCACAACAGGACAAAAGTTCAAAGAAACAGGAGTTGTACAGTTACCTGACTGGTGAATACGGATAACATTATCTCCTCACTGATCTAAAACACCATGTGTCATAGCATTTTTCCTCTGCTTTGCCAAACTAACCCACAGCTTCTCAAAGGTGCTAAGCCTATGACAAGCCTCTCTTACAAACTGACAACTGGCAGGTCATTTTCTAGATGCCTCGGCTATAGCATTTCAAGTACTTGGCAGCCAAGTACTTTGGTTTAGATAGTAGAAATGGAAGCAGACCAAAACTGATGCTCCAGTGTGTAAGAGGAGGTGGCAGTAAATTGGGTTTAATGCTGTTGTACCCCCTTGCTTTACTGGTAAGTCTGCTGCTAAAATTTAAAGCTAAAAGAAAAAAAAAAAAACACAACCTCCCAAATCCACCCAAAGCTAACCGCGTATGTCTTCTATCATCTTGAACGTTCTTCCTCACGTTTTTTGCGTCTGACCGTAGTGCACGGGATCAACTTCTGACTGCAGGTGACAGCTAAAATCATACGGTTGCCTTCTGACAAGGCTTCAGAAGTGGTTTGAGGAGCAATCTGCAGCTGTCTGCGCTGAGAGAGAAGGCAGTGGACTTCCATCACCTCCTAATCCGGTACTCTCCAGATCCCCTTGATCATGCCCGGGCTCTTTTATCCCGGACAAGAGTAGGGTTGAGGATTTAATCTAAGGTCTTTTACACTTTAAGGAGGAAAGAGCAGAAGCATTTGCTTCTGTCTGAACTTCCTCACCAGTGCACCTGATCCGTAACAGAGAGACCACATTTTGGGGAGAATAAGCAGTTTAATTGTTTTAACTGCTTCCCCTCTTTGTGCCTATATTGACCTTGCTGACTCCACGGGGCTGTAGTTGTTTCCCTAACTCCTAACTGCGGTGTGAGCTCCCACAACTTCCTGTTTTAGGGCTCAGAGAGACAGACATTACTGGATTTGTTATTTTACAGTTTTACTGGCCCTGCCTTTACAGATATTTCAAGATAACGATGCTAGTCTGGTAGCCGATGATCATACACACGTTCACCTCTGCTCTATTGCTACGAGGCCAGGAAGCTCAGCTGTCTGCTTGGCTCTCTTACCTAAGTGGTGTGAGAATTTGAAAAGTAATAGCTAAATCCAACACTGAGAAAGAGAGAAATCATTTTTCAAGCTTTGAGGAACTCCTGTACAAAGACTCATGACCGTACTGTAAAAGATGCCGAGTGCTGCCACTAAGACTTCAGGGACCAGTTCCACTGAGAATGGCGATATTAGTACCAGGGATGCTTTGAAGAGCATCCGCATGATGTAGGGACCCTTAAAAATGCACCACCAGTCACAGGAGAGCGGGGCTCAAAGCACTGTTCTGCTTCTGGACTGTCAGGTGGGTTCCCACAGCCTTTTCGGTAAAGGAAGTTACCAGCAGTCAAACAGTGAAGAGCGACAGCTTTTTCAAATGCTTGAGGAAGGCAGACATGCTGCTGCACATATGATTCCCCTCCTTTTTCAAGTCTCTTTGTGATAGGCAGGGCATGACCTGGAAGAATTAACTGCAGGAGTGGAAGTTAATCCCTTAGTTGCTGTATACATATTGCAAAGGCACATATCAAAGAGTTCTGATTGCAGCACTCCTGCATACGGCACAAATGCAGGCTACAAGCACACTGCTGATTTCAGCAAGATTTTGCATGCAGCAAAAATATTCAGAAGAATGTTAAAAAGGTACAGATAAGTTGAAAATCCAGATTTCTGATTTGCCCACGGACACTGATCTCTTCGGAGATTTACTGAAAGATTTATTTATAGTAACATTCACCACGGCTACAGACGTTTTCAAGATTTCAGTCTGTGGGGTGAAGTATGCTTTGCTGACCCTTCTGCTTTATAGGAGGAGTTTGTTTCTAAGACCTTAGACATAATATTTAAATAACAATTGTCTGTAGAGTCTTAGTGTAAAATGAAAGGTATATCAGCGTGTAGTTAGTTAAAAATTCAGCCTTTTGGAACACAACTGAGCAAAGTTAGAATGTGTTAATGAAAGACTAAAATTAGGAAGGTGCTTCATTGGCACTGTTTTTAATGAAAAAATGGTTGTGGGTTTCGGGTGGTTCTGCACCTTCTAGACATGTCTGCAATACTGGAATGCTTGTAACCGCCTTACAGCGCAAGAGCCAGAAAACGGAACTAACCAAACAGATCAAACTCGTTTCTCTACCCTGGTTTTGCAGAAACCTACCGTGACATACAAATCAAATGGCTAACCTCATATCAAAAAGATCGCGTTTACGACTGAGATGTTTCACACCACGCACCTCAGAGCAGCTTGAATTCCTTTCTTTTGACACCACCTGACACTATGGGCTGCTGAATGGAAACCTACCGGTCACGAACATCCTTTAAGGATCTCCTTCCCCCAGCAGTTATGGCTGTCTCCTACTGCGGAAGGCTGAAGATACTGCTCGGCTCCCTGCACTGACAACACAGAGTGCCAAGCCGCTAGTCACAGTAGCCGTGTGTTTAAGTTGCTGATCTTCTTTTTGCTTCTGATGGGTGATTATTTCTCAAATGATTAAAGCACATCAAATGCAGAATTAGTCCTATTTGCTCTCTCATAAATGCAAACACCCTTTTAGCACCCAGAGGCCACTGAATCTAGTTCATTACTGTGATACGTTCCAGAAGTCAGCAGTCTGCTCTATTTTGACAATCCAAACCCAAGAGTTACAGGTATGTATGGACTGGGTAATACCCAGAAAACAACCTGCACTCTGGTTCTCTTTTTCTTATATTAACAAGATATTTAGACAAGGGTGATGTGTCACGACAAAACTCTTGTCAAGGGAATAAAGTCAGTTGTTACCTGAAGACTCTTCAAACACCATCTCTCCTTTGGTCTGCAGTAGGAGGTGAATGCCAGAACAACTCAGTGCCATGTTGGGAAGCAATCTCACATGCCCCTTAGAAGTTTCCCTTTTAATGACCTCCTCCAGCCCCGAATGCCTACTCTCTTCCTTTTAGGACTGAAGGATGGATGTAGTTCACTGTCGGGAGAATGGTGCCCAGCAAAAGATAGTTCGTTTGAATCTTTCCAAGGCTCATGGTAGCCCCATAGGGACAAAGGAGAAAACAGCGGGATCCAGAACCTGCACGGTGGTTGGGCCACTGAAGCCTGTGCCTAGAGCTCTGCAGATACGAAATCCCCACTTGCAATTCAGGACATCTTGGTTTGCAACTATCTGAATTCCTGCTTAAGTTTACAGGTAGTCAGAGACTAATTTGCAAATACTTCCTTCTCAGTTCATGTGTTTTTTTCTCCCCTTTCCTGTTCATAAAATCTCTGTTGATACAAAGCTTTGCTATTTTTAAGCATGTAGTACTATTGGCATGAGGAGTATGACAAATCAATTAACAGCAAATAGCTATCATAGGAGATAGGCTATTCTGATGGGCAGATACAAGAGAATCACCTGTTACTTACAAGTGCTCTTTGTTATTTACAAGTCCAATAGATTCAGTATCCTGCTTTTCTGATTCTAAAAAAGCACAGGAAGGCACTTTACAACACAGCTCAAGAGTTCACTCTCTTAATCTAGAATGTAAAATAAGAAGTCTTTACAGTCTGGGTTAATAAGGACACATCCAACAGGAACGTTTAACCATAAGTCAAAGGAATCTGAAGGACAAATTCTACAGGTTTTTCTTCCGGTAACTCCACTACGATGAACAGAAGTTTCATTCAAGCGGAGATGGAAGGCTTAAAAGAATATTTCATTCCACTCAGACAAGAAACAATTGAAGTGTAAATAAGGATTAATACTTAAAAAAGAAAAAGTACACATAATTTTGGTCAAATCGATCCTTTCTCCTGGAGAAGAGGTGGTAGCTGTTGTCTTTCCTGTGTCAGTGGTTTAATAATGCTGACTTACCCCTGGCCTGGAACATAAAGTCCACCTCTATTCAGGCACGTAAGAAGGTA